TGCTCGTTTTGTCTCATTCAGCGTCCGTGTGGGAATCATTTTCATATTATCTGCCTTGCAAATAACTTTCTGCTGCAGAGCGACACACCTTGCTCTGTAACTCTGAGGGAAAATCATCTCAGAGTTAGTGGAGGAAAAGTTTGGTGTTTAAATTTGGTGGGAAATCCACCAGGAAACATATCTTCATACACATTTACCCAAAGAGAACACTGGAAAGGATATTAGTGTTTAGATGTATTCATTCATTCAGATATTTCAGTGAGTCCAGTATATCTAAATCTGAAAACTACAACGTCAGGAAAAAAATAGATACAAATGATTTTGGATTATTGTACTAAAGCTCCCGCTCATCTATATCGCTGAACTGTCCCTACCAGCCCACCCACCTGTTTATTCTCATGTTGTTGTCTCTCAGTGCTCTTCTATTCACACGGCTTTCTTCTCACTCCACTGGAAAGGCAGATGGCTACCCTTCAGAGGCTTCCTGTTCAAAGGGACCTTTTTCTACCCTCTGTAGCCAAGTTCTTCCTCATAGGTAATCATCCAGGTTCTCTGAATAATATTATAGGCTCTCACCTGTACAATACAAAGTGCACAGATATAAATTTATGATATAAAAAGTGAGGAAGTGTGTAGTGAAGTGTGTGTTTGGGTGGTTATTTCTTTGCTGTAACTGCTTCTTGGCAGTAAATCTTATACTGTTGGAAGGTCTGTTTGTTTCCCCTTTAATGGAGCCACATTTGTGGGAAAATGCATTTGTGGGTTGAGCAGCAGAGCTGCGTATGTAGGTTGTGCCCATGAAAACCTCGTTAAATCTTCTCTGCCAATGTCAAACAGCTTATTCTGCTGTGGACTCTAGTTTTAACTCCTTGTTATGATCTTGTGATAAACCTGTTTTCCTATTTTCATGTTTCTATAGGTTAAAAGGAGAGATCCTTGGAAAGACTTTTATCTTTTGTGGCTGTTATAGAGAAAATTTGACACCACAAGGCTTTTGTTTAATAAGGCTGCTTCACACTGATAAGCAATTTGCTTTAGAAAGTATTAAAAATTAAGGTATTTAAAAGGTATTACTAACAAAACACATTACGTTGTGTTATGGGTTTGTAAGATTCAGTGGTTGATGAGGACTGCTTGTATACTTGCCACTACTCTCAGAAACATTATGGTTCTTAAATGGTTCTTCAGATGTCTTCGTGGTTCTTTAAAGAACCATCCTACGTCAAAGAACCTTTTTATTTTGTAGATGGTTCTTCAGCTATTACAAATGGTTCTTTAAAGAACCAAAGGTTCTTCATCCTTAGCTGTCTAAGTTTGATGGTGTAAAATGGCATAAATATTTATTCACTATAATGAGGCCGTGAATTCTACCGTGTTTTGTTTGTGTGCATGTGTGTGCGAAGGGGGAGGGTGGGTTACCTCCCTCAGGTTACCCTTTAAGAGCAGATGGTAGGAAACTGAATATTCAATTAAAAGTTAGAAATACTTGCTTAAAAATATACTGGTGGCAGGTGTGGGGGCCAAAGCCTAAAGACCCCCCCCCACACACACACACACACACACACACACCCCTAACCCCGCCAACCCATTGATCACAAATAATGTGGTAATAGAATATGGAATTTGTTATTAAGATGTTTATGAATATTGTCAGTTAACAAACAGTAGACACAATGCACACATTCAAATACTGTACTTTAGTTTGAAATTTTAATAAAATATTACTATTTACTATACTATTTGCATGCGCAAAAGAAGACGTCACACACAACGCGCTCAGTTTAGACCCAGAACAACAGTATTGTTTGACTGATGCACCTTAATATAAAGACTTGTTTCGGACTCCGTAAAAGACGGATTTAATGCGACCTGACCATCAAACAGCAGCCGCTTTATAAAACATCGGATATGTATCGGATTCAGGACCACATACGAAAGTGACCCATTTCGGATTTAAAACTATCGAACTTGTACAGTTGACACTGTCATAGCATGATCGGATATGGGTCAGAAAAGTCGGATTTGATGCGCTTTCGCCTGCAGTGTGAACGTAGCCTTTGATTGAATTACAGTGGGATGGAAGTCGAGGACAAGGAGAAGGAAGCTTAGGATGAGGAGGAAGAAAAGCAGCAGGAGCATCTTTAGTGATCTCTATGATGTCATTGGGGTTGGTTTCATTAATATGGTCCTCTCACAGAGAAAGATGACTTGTTTTAGTTCACCTACTTCCTGTATTAGATAGCGATGTGCAAAACGTTGTGGAAAGCGGAGCAGTCAGGTAAAGTGCACCTGCAGGCGAATGAACATCAAATCTCTCGGACTAAAATCCGTATTATACTTTTAGTCTTACGACAATATGTTATATATTTATCACCCCTATGATAAAACCCATGTCAGCCATTGGTTTATGAACTTTGTATTTTGAAGCCTCAACATTTGCTTTATTGCTGTTGCTATGTTGTTTTTTGGGAGCCTTTTGGGACCATGTTAGGACGAGGGATCAGAATCTGGAGTCGTGCACACTATTGTTTCATTTAGCGTGTATCCATAAGATTTGTACAGCAGATCCAAGTTGTGCCTTGAAAACAGGAAAGTTGTCTGCATAGAGGAGAACTGTGATAGCAGGCTGGTACAAAGTGAGGCTTTGTGCTCACATTTGCTGCAAACACTCGTTTTAATTCTGTTACCCTGTTTTGATGCAGAATTCACTTAAAATCAGGCAAGAACTGGACTTGTTTTAATAATGTGTTCTTGTGAAGTGATTGTGTATCGCATACATTTGATTTGACTTTCTGCCAGAAAAGTTTTCCAAATACCTCCACGTGATCAAGCCTGGATTTAGAAAAGAATAGCAAAACAAAAAAAAGCTGCACCTCCTGCTTCAGATGCAATTTGTGCTTGTGTGTTCAGAGGCGGCGAGAGGCAGGACCTCGGCTCATCCAGCTGGAGAGCCTGACCAGGAGGAGTCGAACAGGGGCACCCTGCAGACTCGGCTGCTGGCATTGGCGAGGGAGTGCGGCCGCCACTGGGATGACGTCATCCCACGTCACAGGTCGACTGCAGGTATGCGAGTCAGACCTTCTGAGGAGGGTTTCTCTCTTCTTTATAACTGACCCCGTTTCTCTCTCTCTCAGCTCTTTGTCTCAGTAGGAGCACAGAGGGAGGAGCTTGTCGTTTGGTTGGCTGATATGGATGTCCACCTGAGTGAGGTTGACCAGCTGACAGGAAACACCTGTGAAAAACTGAAACAACTGCAGGTGTTATTAATACATGTAATAATTGTTGCGTTATCTATAGATATAGTATTTATATATATTTATTTATAGTATAGTAAAAATATTGAATTATTACTGTTTAAATGACTAATATGTGACATGTATTAGTAGTGATGTTGTGCTGAGGGTTAAAATGCATTTTTAGCTTTTGGTAACTACGAAACCATTGATATATGTTTATGCTGTGCTCGTGTTTATTTTACCGTACTCATATCCAATTTATGATACATTTTATTTTGAAAGATTTAAAATTGTTCTTTAAAGAACCACTCAAAAAAGGTTCTTTAAAATCAGACTAAAGAACCACTTTTGGGTCCAGTTGGCACCTTTAGTTTTCTGAGTGTAGAGGTCCAAGAAAAGACAAACGGTGAACCGGTGCCAAAGGTCACGGACACCCAGAGCTCATGAGTGTGCATGGACAGTACAATCCCACAGGAGCAGCACCACACAGTGAAACCCTCAGTGCTGGTGTCACAGCGCATATTAGCACACACAGAGTTTTTAATTACATGACCAAACGACCTACACTGGGCATGTGAGACCTGACTGTTTGACTGTGTCCATCTAGACATTCTTTGACATCATATGGGTGACGAGGTGACTGCGCATCACAGCAGTTTACATTATGGGAAGAAGGAAAGCCAGCACAAGAAGCGTGATGTTCCATGGCACGACGTACGCTTCCACATGGGGAAAAAACATTGTGGTTTCCAAAAAAAGAAAAATTCAAAGACTTCAAGGTGTTATTGTGGCCTCCAAATTCCCCACATTTTAATCTAAACGGACATCTGCAGGGTTTTTCCTGCCTCAAAATGGGCCTTTGCATACTGACGGTG